TCAATTAAGCAGAGAATAAAAATCCTTGTTTTCTTCCCAAGGGGTAGAGAGGCAAGTTCCCATCAGAAAAGGCTCCAGTCAAGCTAGAGTGTGGTCTTAATGTTAAACCAAGAACTAGCAAGACAGGAGAAGGGGGCAGGCGGCGGAAGGGGGCGTGTGTGGCTGCACCTGGGTCTGCATCCACCCAGAATTAGGTTTCAAAGGGCGGCGACTGTCCCTGTGGACACCTCGATCACCGAAGTGGCAAAGTGGAAAAAGGATACAAAGGGAGGGAAGACCGTGGAGGAGAGAGAGGAGGCCCCCCTTAGGGGCCATCATTTCTGCTCGCAAAGGCCCACAGCTGGGCCAGCAGCTGGGGGCTGCAAAGACCTGCAGGTGGGGAGGCTGTGCTGGCTGCCCCGAGGCCCCAGCCAGCGGGCAAACATGTGTCCTAGTGGGTCCCAGCTCCCATCTGAGGCCCAGCTGGGATGCTCGGAGCCTGGAGGGGGTGTCAAGGAGTCAGGGCTATAGAGAAGGGGCCCATTTCCCTGGGCTAGGGGCTGCCCTGCCCTGTCTGGGGGCTGCTGGGGCAGGTGAACTGGTAAGTGGCCGCACAGGCAGAAGCGGCCCACAGCTCCCTGCCAGCCAAGAGCTCCCATGGCCAGGCTTGTCCTACCTGGCCTCGTTGGCCCCCAAGGAGAGACACTGAGCAGAGGCTCTCAAGTGGGGCCAGAGGAGGAGCCACACGTGTTCTTGGGGAGCTGAGCCCTTGGGAGGCCTGGTCCCAGCAGGGCAGCTGAGCTCGGGGCGGGCGGGCAGGTCCTCGCCTCGCTTCTGCCACAGGCGTGGGTGGGCCACATGGGCCCAGGGCTCTTGCAGGCCAGGGGCCTGTGAGGGTCTCTGACCGGGGGGAGGGGAGGCTGCCTGGGGCCACCGGAGCCCCGACAGCTGACACCCTCCCAGGAGCCCTGGGTGGGGGAGGCCCACGGAGACAGCCTGACTGCAAAGCAAGGGCTCAGCAGGGCTTCGCCGGGCGGCCCCAGAGACGCCCTGAGCCCTTGGGGACCTGGGGACAATCAGAAATGGGGCCGTGTGCTGCCCGCAGCATCTCCTGCCCCCCTCCCCAGACGCTGCCTTCCCACGCCCCACCTGCGTTCTCCCCGCCACGGGGGCTCTGCCCTCGCCCTGCCCTCCTCCTGGCGGTCCAGTCCCTCCTGTGGCGCTGGGGACAAGGTTCAGAGGCTCAGCTCCCTGAGGCCTGGGCGGCTCTCAGAGGCTGTTTCCACATCTGACACGCAGGGACACTAATTCCTGCCACCTTGTGGGGTTGTCATGAGGGGTCCCCATCACACTGGTCGTGGGCACCTCCTGGGGTGCTTGTTAGGTACCCAGAGGCCTGTCTCCCGTCCCAAAGCTGCTGGATCCTAATGGCTGGAGAGGGGGCCTGGCGCACTCTCTTTTTTAAAAAAACATATTAAACACCCCCTCCCCTACCCCCGCAACAGACTCCTCAGGACTTCACTGCACAGTGTAACCACCTTCATTCTGCAAACCGCGGCACAGAGCCAGCCTGTTAGTTCAAGGTGAAGGTTTTTAACTCGGGCTATTTATAATTCCCGCCACCCCACCGGTGTTAGTTTCAAAGCCATCACGCCAGATGTCGACTCCGAGGTTGAGAAGGAGACAAACGTTCTCATAAATTAATATTACCAGTGACTAACACTTGATATTTTTAACGCACGTTCAACGCAGAGGGGGAAAAAAATCCTTTTTTGATTCCCGCTGGGTTTGCGCAGCCCTCCCCTTGGCGAGGGATCCCTGAGACCTTTGGGTGTCGCTGCAGGCGAAGGCCCAACGAAGGAGATGAGTGAGTCCCCAGTCGGAGGCTCTCGTGGGGCCTCCGGCTCTTCCTTCCCTCCTCCCACCCTTTCTCCTTGTACCTCACACTCCCGTTCCCGCGGGTCCAGGCTGGAGAGACCCCTGGTTAGCGACATCGGGCCTGTGAGCCAGGGTTCACATTTCCTCGGGGCTCTGCCCGCAGGTGAACTGGCTCATTCCAGAGGCCGCCACTGGGGGGCGTGCTGGAGCCCACCACTGGGGGACTGGCCGGCAGACCTCTCATTCTCTCCGCACCTTGTAAAAAGAAAGGGTTGCCCTTCTATAAAAGTTGGTGTATTTCCCCCGAAGCCGCATTTCCTGTGTCTCTTGGACAGTGGACAGTCCTGGCGTCCCGGGGTCGGGCGCCCACAGTGACACTGACTGACCGTGGTGGCGGCCAGCCGTTGGTGGTAGTTTGGACGGGCCTGAACCTCCACCTGCCACCACTGCCGGGCGCCCAGCACACCTGCCTCTGACGGCCACCTGGTGGTTTGGCTGGGGTTTGCAGCCGCCCCGCAGATAATTTGTCTGGTCCACACAGTGTGGCGCGCATTATGCATAAAAAATTTCGAAAGTTCTGCCGGCCATATGGCAGCGTTTCGAATGTCTTATGTTTGATCCTCTCACGACCTGCTCAGGATCACTGTCTCCACGGAAAAGGAAACTGAGGCACCCAGAAGTAAAGGGACTTGCGCGAGGTCACAGCACCATGTGGCGGACCCAGGGTTTCAGCTCACGATGGTCACACCTGCACTTTCCAGCCAGGGGCGGGGGGCCTGTCTCTTCAGATCACTGCTCCAACCTGTCCCCACCCGACTTGTGGGCTCCCTAGGGGTGGAGATAATGTCGGCTCCACGTCTCAGGGCCCAGCGTGAGTTTGTAGAAGACGCTCAAGACACCGAGTTGAGCTGGCTGCGCCGCTGCTCAGGCCGAGTGGCGCTCACGAAGGCTGGGTACCCAGGAGAGCTTGTCCTGGGCCGTGACTGTGTTTTAGCCGCTTTTGTGGGCCAGTCCCCAGGCACCAGGAATCTAGACTAAGTGGAGGCGTCCCCATCTGGCGCTGGGTGATCAGTAATGAAATCTTATCGTGCTTTTCTAAAAGCCTTTGCAGTCTTGGCCTGCGCCCCCGCCCTCCACCCAAAGCCGTGGCGCGCGGTGCATTGTGGGGCCGCGTTCCCGATAGCGGGCACTTGAGTGCGGTTAGAATGATCCCAATCTTGTGAACAAACACAGAGCAGCCGGTGCCAAGGGGCCTTTGTTTCTTGGTTTTGAGGGTCACCTTGCAGGGGGAGAGGTGGCTGAGCCTCACTTCCAGGGTTCATTGCCCAGGAGTGCCTGCTGCGGGGTCAGCCTGGGTCACCGCGACAGGGAGCAGAGCTCCTGCCTGGTGTCGCTGACCCCCGAGGGTCCCGGCCCCAGAAGGGCCCGCCGCCCATAGGTACGGCTGTCCTAGGCGATGTCCAGAGGCTGGGAGGAGTGAGCAAGGGGCAGAGCTGTCCCCGGACTTGACACTGTAAACTGATGGAACTCCCGGTGCGTGCTTAGCCCTGTGGGTTCCGTCAGGGCAGGAGCCTCGTGGCCGTTCAAGCTCTTCTTCATGACGGACAAGCCCTTTAACCTCTCTGAGCCTCCCTCTTCTCATCTGCAGACTCAATAAATATGCCTCAGGAGGGGAAACACGGTTCATCGATTCACTGGCTTAACCCAACATTTGTTGAGCATCTACTACTATGTGTCCGGCTGGGTGCCCGTGTGTGGGAGGAAACCAGCTCAGACACAGGGCAGCCGGAACAGGGAATGCTCCTTGGGAAGAAAACAGGAAAGGAGCAGTGCCATTCAGCGTGTTTTCCCCAGCTGCTTCCCTGGCTTCGGCAAAGGGCAGGCGTCATGAATACAGTAGCATGGGCTGCGGCTGCTTCCAGGGCCTGCAGAGCCGCAAGGTCCTGGCTGTGGGGGCAGGGCTGGGGTTGGGGCGCTGCGACAGCCAGGATCGACCCCCCTGGCTGCCTACGTCCTGTCCTAAAACACTCAGCTCCCCGATGACAGGCCTCCTGAGGCTCCCTCCAGAAGCCCTCCCAAGTCAAATGCTGCAAACTTCCAGTCTGTCCCTTTCCGTACCCCTGGTCTGGGGGCCCCGCACGTGCCCCCCTGCCCGGCTGCCCAGCCTGTCCTCTCTGCTCCAGGTCTATACGTGCCTCTTCCACCGCCACCAGGCCTCCTTGCCAGGCAGACGTCTGTCCTGCCGGGGTCACAGGCCGGCACTGTGGTCCCCTCACACCGTGGTCTGAAAGCCCCTGCCTTGTTATCCTGACTTGGCCCTGATTTCCAGTTTATGGCCTCCCCTCACTTCCGTGAGGTGACGTCCACTACAGCCTCCTGGCTCAGTCTAGTTTCCCTTCTTACCCTATTCTCGGGGTGCAGGTCTGAGCGTCTGTCTGGCCCAGCCCCCTCTACTTGTGAGTGTCCCAGAGCTGGACCCCTGTCTGGGACTCGGATGCCACGTCTTGGCCTCACCTGTCCCTCCTTCCCCACACGTCCACCTCCCCATCACCTCCGTCACCTCCTCGGTCCTCCCAACAGCTCATGGGCACCAGCATCTACCCCTCTCCTTCCCAACTGGGGACCAAGGGCCACAGTCCTAGGGGTGCAGGAATCATGGATTTGCTGTCTCTCTTAGATCCTGGCGACAGACTGAACACTCTCTATCTTAGATGCCACTTTGGGAGCAGACTGAGTGTCCCCTGGAAAACAGGGGAATTCCTGGACAGGCCTGGCTGCCGGCTCCCGTGGGATCAGGCCCGGGGGTGGCGGGAGGGCAGCGAGGGTGGGCATGGGGTCCTTTGGACCAGGGCTCTTCACAGACCACAAGGTGGAGCACGAGAAGACGGGCTTCTGCAGGTGGCCGCACCTGTGTTAGCTTAAGTCTTGTTTGGAAGGGGAAGGCGGATCAGGGAGGCTTTGAAGTCTGTTTGCTGTGGAATGGGGGCCTTATCGGAGTGGGTGCCGTCTTAATGTGTTTGTGGAGCGGCCTGAGGTCCGGCGCTATCGCCGCGGCCTGGGCTTCCGGCCAGGGGAGCCTCGCGTCCTCTATAAAGGCTGGGTGGTGGGCGCTGGTGGCAGCAGTGTCCTGCTCGCCGTCCAGGATGAGGAGCCTCGTGGTGCTACTCGCAGTCCTCGCTCTGTCCCAGGGCAGTGGGATCAGCAGGTGGGTGTCAGGCTCCGGGGCAGGGGACAGGCATCTCAGGCGTCTGCCCTGGGTGGGTCTCTCCCTGGCCGCGCAGCTATCGGGCCCCCTGGGGAGTCTTTGGGGGAAACGTGGCAGGTCCCCAGGATGAGCACTCCTTGTCAGTCTTACTACTGCATTTTGGGACCTTTTCCTCTCAGTGCCACCTCAAGGTCGGGCAGGTGGGGACAGCCCGGGACATTAAGGCCATGACTTTTGAAGCCAGCGATCAGATCCTGGGCAGTCCGATTCAGGGCTTCGGGGAGCCATGGGAGTGCCACAGACCGGCTCCCGCGGTCGCCCCGGTTGGCCCTCCACCGTCATCCAACACCTGAGCTCTGCTGGGAGCTCCCCAGGGACCAGGCTCAGTGCTGAATCCCTCGGAAGGGTTTCCTCCCACCGTGCGCCGCTCAGAGAGCGAGCAAAGGGTGGGAGTGTTGTCATAGCATTGGCTAGAGTGTGGGGGACAATGTGCCTTATTCACTGTTGTGTCCTGGTGCCCTGTATAGTGTCTGGCACATAGTAGGTGCACGGCAAGACTTTGAAGACTGAGTGATCATGTGTTTAGTGCCTCTTAAACCTCAGAGTTGCAAAACTCATTAGCTGGTTATAAAATACCTCTATTGAGTCTCCACCAGCATTAAAAAAAGAGAAAGAAATAGAAAATAGAGGGCGTTGCATTTACTAAGGGTAGGTGTTGATTTGTGAACGGAGGGGGAGTATGTATTTTTTACTCTGGGTTATGAGAAGTAGCTGGGGGAGTGGATTGGAGAGCCCAGAGCCTCCGGGCTCCTGCTGGAGGCCAGGCAGCCCTGGGCAGCGCGCACCTGCTCATGCATCCTCCCGTCTCCTCAGGATCCCTCTGCACAAGGCCAAGTCGATCAGGAAGGCCCTGAAGGAGCACGGGCTCCTGGAGGACTTTCTGAGGACACACAACTACGCCGCCAGCAGCAAGTACTCCAAGTCTGGGCAAGTGGCCAGCGAACCTCTGTTCAACTACCTGGATGTGAGTGACCCTGACAGCCTCCCAGCAACGATTGTCACCAGGGGGTGATGGACACCTGCAGCCCCGCCCAAGCCCCCACCTCTCAGTTGCACAGACCCTCGGGCAGCTTCGCAGCGCCGGGCTCTTGCCTTCAAGGCTCTCAGTGTCGCTGGTGGAAGGGTCTGAGCTCAGACGAGCTTCCTGTAGACAACACCCCTCGGTCGGTCTCCCGCTCCCACATCCCCGCTCTCACCTGCCTAGGCTCACTGGCCTAGGGTCTCCTCGGCAGGGATGGGGCAGCTGGTGGCCGGTCCACAGCGGCCCTGACGAGGCAGGAAGGTCCCTCGCTCCCGACCCCTTCCGGGAGCCCAGCTCTCTCATCTGCCGCTCGTGCAGGAAACAGCCAGCCTTCCGTTCTGTGCTGGCTTCCTCATCGAGGTCTCCCCACGCCCTGCCTGGGCTCCAGTTCCGACTCACAGCGAGAAGGCACTGCTGGGTGGGACTTGGGGCTTGCACCTAGCTGGTCTCTGTCCTTGCTCCCGGCAAGGTGGCCAGTGTCCCTCCCGGGCGGGCCTTGAATTTTGGTCTAACGTCCGCTTCTGGGGCTGATGCCCTCAGTGTTGCCGGGCTCCCAGGAGGGGCAGGCCAGGCGTGGCCGGGGTGGGTGCCTGGTGTGGGGGCGGCAGGCCCCTCCCCAGGGAGCCTCCTGTTTCTTCCCCCTTGACCTTCCGGGTCTCCGGGTGGAAAGCACATATCCTCCAAAACTGAAGAGGCTCCTTGTCCAGCGTCCGCCCTCACCTGCACGCAGCCCCTGCCCGGGCCCCTGACCCTGGGCCTTCTGTCCTCAGTGCCAGTACTTCGGGAAGATCCAAATCGGGACCCCGCCCCAGGAGTTCACTGTGGTGTTTGACACCGGCTCCTCGGACCTCTGGGTGCCTTCCGTCTACTGCAAGAGCGAGGCCTGCCGTGAGTGACCCACTTCCCCGAAGCCCACTCTCCACGCCGGGGCCCAGCAGGGGTCAGGGTGGCCGGTGGGCCACATGAGGTCACGGGAGAGCTGGCTTTGACGTCCCAGCCTCCCTGTGTGTCCCATCTGCTTGCTCAGCCCTGGCGAAGGGCCGCAGACCGGGAGGTGTGCAGGTCCCGGGGGGGGGGCTGACGAATGGAACAGCAGCTGGCAGTGAGGGGGGCGTGGTTTTGTATTGTCCCCATCAGGAGCCAAGACAAGGGGCTTACTCACCCGGGCGCTCGGTTTTTCTTTCTATAAAACGGGGCCACCACCTGCCAGCAGGTGCTGGGCGAGGGAAGTGAGGAGGCCTCTTACTGCTGAGAAAAGACGTCGAATAGATGTTATCATTTATTTCCCAACAAGCCTGGGAGACCTGTGCTCTTTTCAGCGCCATTTACCAGATGAGGCAACCAAGTTCAGAGGAAACAAGAGGCTGGTCTGAGATGGCAAAGCTGATAAAAGGGAAATGTCCCGGGAAACCACCGGGATGGCTTTTTTTCTTTCTTATTTTTGTTTGGAAGCTACACAGGTAGCACTCAGGGTCAGAGAGTTGGGCTGAAAAGCAAAGACTGATTTTCTTTATCAAACCCCGTGGGCTCAAGGGAGAACAGGCTGCCTGTTCTTCACCAGAGAGAACGGTCTGTGCTCGGGCCGTGTTCTTACGAGGCCCGGTGAGGCGCCCCCTCACCCTGGGTCTGTGTTGCAGAAAAGCACCGCCGCTTCAACCCATCCCGGTCCTCCACCTTCCGGGACCTGGGCGAGCCTCTGAGCATCCAGTATGGCACCGGCAGCATGGAGGGCATCCTGGGCTCCGACACCGTCACGGTGAGTGGGGCCGAGCCAGCCAGCGCGCACCTTCCCCTCCCCACCTGCTCTTCCTCCCCAGGACCCTAGCTCGGGCGGCTGCCTGCCCCTCGGGCCAGTGCTGGGGGGGGGCCCTTTGGGTCCTGCCCTGCCGCTGCCAGGGGCCCAGTGGTGGGTAAGAATTCTGAGAAGGATTTTGGATGCTTTCACTTGCCCACTGCGGGCGGCGTGTGGGACGAGGAGCCTCAGGTGGGGCCAGGCCCCGCTCAGCTGTCTCCCCAGAAGTGAGGGCAAGTTGGGGCACCTGAGGAAAAGAAGGAAGACTGATGTGGGGGAGTTAAGGGGCAGAGGAGGGAGCAGAGGTGTGAGAAACAGGAGCAGAGCACCAGGCACCCCAGGACGACGGCTTCGCCCTGAGTCCCACGCGGAGTCTCCGGAGGGCTGTAGCAAGCCGTGACGTGACTTGACCTCCATTTTCAAAGATCGCTTAGGCTGCCTGTGTGGAGGATGGGTCACTGGGGACAGAGCGGAAGCAGGAGCCACGGAGGTGGCTCAGAGGAGGCTGAGGACGAGTCACCCTTCCAGAGACGTGGGCAGCTTAATAGGCTATTTTGGAGTTAGCACTCCCTCAGCAGTGTCAATAAGTGTTCGATGACCAAACACTCAGCAAGTGCCGGATATGTGGTCAGCATTAGCGTTGCTCAGCGTGAGCACTGCCTGGAGAGGCAGGTGTTACTGTTCCATGACACGTGTGAAGACCGAGGCTGCAGAGGCCTCGTCCCAGGCCACCCGGCGCATGCACATGAGGTCTTTTACAAGCAAAGAATGCAAGGAAACACATCCGGCTCTTTTAGATGCAAAATGCGAGTGTGCACTTCCCGCCCACTCTCAACTGTTCCTTGGGAAATGTCCCAGAAGCAGCTGATCGGATGCCTGCCCGTTGGCCGGGGCCTTGGAGCAGCCCCCCGCCCCACCCTCTCCTTTGGGCTCTGTTGCCCGCCCTCCGCCCCATTGAACAGATCCCCTAAAACCAGAGTGCAGAGCTGGGAAAGGAGGGGCTTCCCTGTACGTGCACAGCACCCCTCCGCCCCGCAGAGGGTGACCGGGGCCCTGCTGTGTCTGCCCGGAGGGCCCCCTGGTGCAGGTCTCCGTGCCCCCTGCAGGTCTCCAGCATCGTGGACCCTCAGCAGACCGTGGGCCTGAGCACCCGGGAGCCTGGGAGCGTCTTCACCTACTCCGAGTTCGACGGCATCCTGGGGCTGGCCTACCCCTCTCTGGCCTCCGAGTACTCGGTGCCCGTGTTTGACAACATGATGAACAAGCACCTGGTGGCCCAAGACCTGTTCTCGGTTTACCTGAGCAGGTAGGGGCTGCACCCCGCCGGCCCGGCTCCCACAGCCTGGCAGGGCCATGGCTGGGGACAGCGTCCACACCTCGGGGACGCTGCGACTCCGGGGCGGACCCAGCATCCAGGCCCATCCAACCTCTTGTCCAAAGGCCCCCAGTGCAGTCACTGATGGAGTGGGAGTCCCTGGGGCCGGAATTTAACTTTCGTTTCCGGCATTACAAAAAAAAAAAAAAGCCATCTCTGCATAGGGGCTTGTACACTTTTTTGCCAAAGTGGCAGGCCCCGGCCATCACCTGCTGATGGCACTGAGACTCACAGACATTTTAGAGCTGGCCACAAAGGAGCCCTACCTCTTCCTGTCACAATTTGGGAAATTGAGGCCGCAAGAAACAACTCCCCGGGATCTGGTGGCCGAGCCACGCCTGCAGCCCAGGGTTCCTGACCGCAGTTAAGGGGCCCCTGCGTCCCCACCTGCCCCTGGGGGGGCGCAGCTCAGCTGGACAGAGCGGCGGGGGCCGGGCCGGGAGGAGGCTGGTGTCAGGGGAGCCCGGGCCAGGGGCCGATTGGCCCACCATTCACTCACTCACTCACTCGCTTCTTCACTCAGTAGCGGACTGTGGGTCCTGGCCGTGTGCAGGGGAACTCTGAACAGGGGAAACAGACAACACACAGCGCCACACACGATTCTGACAAGTGTGGGGAGGACAGCGGGAACGTCTGCGTGTGGCAGAGGCTGAATAATGACGGGGAAGCCGGTCTCACGGAGGGGTGTGGAGGGGCCGGGAAGCCCCCTGGGGCCCCAGTGGGGGCTGTCCGGGTGAGACAGGGACAGCGCACTTCAGGCAAGGGGACAGCGTGTGCTGGAGCCTGGAGGTGGCACGGAGCTAGATGAGGTCTAAGAATGGGGACAGCGGAGTGGGAAGCTGGTGACTCCAGTGCCCGTGTCTCCTGGCTGTGACACAGCCTCGGAAGGAGCAGAGGGGTTTCGGCTGAGGTGGCAGGTTTCCTCCAAAGTGTGTGCGACTTTGTTGATGACCTTCATCCTCATCGCAGCCAAAGGCCCCGGGGCAGCAGGCCTTGGGTGACGGGGCTGTGGGGGATGGGGCACAGGGTGACAGCTGGGAGCAACCGAGGGCGCTCCGAGCGGAGCCTGGCAGCCCCGGGTCCCGTGTGGCAGCCTGCTTCCCAGCGTCCCCTCACTCAGCCTTGGCCGGGGGGCCACCGAGCTGGGGGCCGGGGGCCACCGCACGCCTGTCCTTGGTTTCAGGAACGGCCAGGGGAGCATGCTCACGCTGGGGGCCATCGACCCGTCCTACTACACAGGCTCCCTGCACTGGGTGCCCATCACGGTGCAGGAGTACTGGCAGTTCACCGTGGACAGGTGGGTGCGCGGCGGCGGGGGGTCTGCTCCAGGGCTGGGGCGGGGGGCCCGGGGCGGGCAGCTCGGAAGCCCGGGCCATCAGATCTAGGAGCTCCCCGGCCGTGGCCTCTGACAGACGCCCCCACAGGCTGGCTGCGCTGGTTGCCCGCTTACCTGCTGGGTGTTGGCTGAGCGCCACTACGACGGTCTCGACGGTCTCGTCTAGTCCTCACTAAAGCGCAGTGAGGTTTTATCCTCGTTTTCTGACTTTCTAACATTGAGTTTGAATGTTGCAACCGTCCCTTAAGGAAGTGAAGGACGCGGTTGTTAACGTGCCCGTTTTGTGGGTGAGAAGCCTGAGCGCAGGAAGGTGGGGTAACTTGCCCGAGACGCGCAGCAAGTAAATGGCAGGGAGGAAACTTGGCTCCTCAGGCAACTGACGAGCGCTCATTCCACCCCGAATGCACGTGCTTTTGCTGTTTTGGTGCAGTTCCTGCTCCACTGGACGTGGGCCGCTCTCGATTTATCCACTGAGTTGGGAGAAAACAGTTCCAGGTCTTTTCTCTGAGCTCAGGAAGTTACGGGGACTCCAGGGAGGGGCCCAAGGGAACAGTTTTGGCCAGGCTCCCGCCCAAGGGTCCTGGCAGGAGAGGCTGGAAGGGACCCATAGATGGGGGCCGGATGTGGGACACATCGCGAGGTCACCTGTCTGCCCTCTGCAGTGTCACGGTCGATGGTGTGGTGGTGGCCTGTCACGGCGGCTGCCAGGCCATCCTGGACACAGGCACCTCCATGCTGGTTGGGCCCAGCAGTGACATCCTCCACATCCAGAAGGCCATTGGGGCCACGCAGGACCAGTTCGGCATGGTGAGGCCGGGCCCTTACGCCCCTTCCCAGGTGCCCCTGAAGAGGGGACCCCTTTGCACGTGGGAGACATGACAAAGGGAAAGGGCAAGGGGCCACGGGTGCCAGGGTGTCTCAGGAGGCCTTGCTCCCAGGGCTCATGGAGCCGTCGGGGCCTGACCTCCCGTTCCCTGAGCCTGACCTCTTGTCCCCAGCTGAGGTTGGTCCCCGGGCTGGCTGACAGCTGGTCCCCCTCCATGTGACTCTTTGAGGACCGTGGCTTGGGACCAAGCCCCAGCCAGAGAGCCTCCTTGGGGCCCCTCCCGACCGCGTGGCTTTCAGCACAGAGGACGGGGTCCCAGCCTGGGACCTTCTCTGTGGCTTCCAGTCACACCCTCTTCCCTTTGGAGAGGACGTCCCTCTGGTCTTTCTAAAAAATAATTTTAAGTTATTTATTAAAGTCTAGTTGGCATACAGCATTATATTAGTTTCAGGTGTAAAACACAGTGATTCGACACTTCTCTGCCTCACGAGGTATTCACCTCAATAAGTCTATGCCCATCTGTCGCTGTGCAAAGCTATTACGATATTAGTGACTGTTTTCTCTATGCTGGCATGACACCCCATGACTTATTTATTTCATCATTGGGAGTTTGTACCTCTCCACCCCCTTCGCTGTGCTCACCCATCCCCCACCCTCCCCTCTGGCAGCCGTCCACTTGTTCTCTGTGTCTGTGAGTCCGTTTTGTTGGTTGCTTTGTTAGTTTGACATCAACTGCGGGAGCCTGAGCCGCATGCCCTCTGTGGTCTTTACAATCAACGGCAAAAAGTACCCACTGCCGCCCTCCGCCTATACCAGCCAGGTACGAATCTCAGTGGGCGGAGCCCCAGGCTCACCCAGCCCCACCCCACACTGGCCTGGAAAGGCAGCGAGGCTGGTGATTGGTGGCTGGGCCTGGATGGAGAACGAGGGACCTGTGTGTAGACCACCTGGCCCTTCTGGGGGGCCCCATGGTCCTTGGGTCTCCTCTGTGGCTGCCGCAGCCTTGTCCTGGGAGAGACGGGGCAGACGGGAAGGACAGAGCCCACGGCTTGTCGGGAGCAAGCAGGGCCATCGCCCCCGGTGGGAACCTCCACCCCCTGACCTAGCTTCTCAGCCCAGGGCCTAGAGGTCTGTCTGGGATTTCTTAGACAGCCTGGGTTTTGCGGGGACCCAACCCTCAGCCCCGCCGATCTGCTTCGGCCTAACCTTAAGCACCCAGACTGGCCAGGCCTCGAGCCCCAGGCCTGCTCTGGCGGCCCCAGGGCAGCAGGTCGGTGCTGAGATCTGGGAGGCGGGTGCTGGCCAGAGCAAATGAGGGGGAGGGGGGTCATTCCCGCACTGAGATCTTGGAACACCGGCCGCTTCACCTGTTGGTGAGATGAATCCGATACTTGATTGCCTGCCTTGGCAGGTGGTTCCAAGGCTGAGAGGGGATGGCAGACGAGGGAGCGGTGGGGGCGGGCGAGGGAAAGGCCTACCTGCCGGCCCGGCACGGGGCGGGCCCAGCCTCACCGCGGCCTTGCCTTTCCCAGGACCAGGGCTTCTGCATGAGCGGCTTCCAGGGCGACGACAGCTCCGAGCAGTGGATCCTGGGGGACGTCTTCATCCGGGAGTACTACAGCGTCTTTGACAGGGCCAACAACCGCGTGGGGCTGGCCAAGGCCATCTGATCGCGCCGCTGGCTGCGACCCTCGCCCCCCCCCCGCCCCCGGACACACGTGCACGCGCATGCCTGCATGCTTGCACGCACGCGTCCCCACATACAGATCAGTTCTCAATAAAAACCATGTCTCTGCAACGCCTGGCTTTCCTTGGGGCTGAGCCCTGCCCCGTTGTGAGGTGTGACTGTGGTGTGGTGTGTCTGGCAGAGCTGGGACCCCGAGGGCTGGGGTGGGTGTGGCTCGGGGACTCTGTTGACGGGTGAGACTTTCACCAGGGGACCGGCGGTCTCCTGCTTGGGTCGGGTAATAGCTCCCCGTCCTGCTCCCCTACGCTGGGTCTTTCTGGGGACAGGACACAGCTGGGGAGCCTGCGGCAGGACGCTTGCCACTGCGGAGCAAGGGCTGGGGGCATGGGGCTGAGCAGAGGACTCGGACCGAGAGGAAGACTCTGGTCTGTGAGGACAAGGCCTTGCCGCCTCTGGGAGGAGAACTTGGGGCAGTGGGCAGAGGGTGTGCAGGACAGCGGAGGGTCCTGAGGTCCCCGGGACCTGGGGTGGGGGGCACAGTCCCTCCTCAGTTTCAGAGGCTCTGCACCAGACCCACCCGCGCGCAGAGCGCCTCCCTGGCTCCATGGGAAAGGCTGGTCTTTCCTCTCACAGGAGACAGTGCAATCCCTCCGGCTTCTGTCCCTCCCGAGTCCCTGCCCACAGGGGCCCTGCCCGCAGCTGCGGAGCAGGCACGGTGCACAGCAGCCTCGGCCGCCTGAGGCCACAGGTTGGCCCGCTTCTGGCGAGGTGTGTGCATGTGTGTGTGTGTGTGCGTGTGTGTGTGTCTCCCAGCGGGAGCTGCAGACGGATGGGGGGCCAGGGTCTGGGTGACCGGTCCCTCCAGGGGCATCTTGTGGGGTCGTTCTCAGCTATGCCTCAGGACAAACAAGAGGAGGGGCCTCGGGCAGAGATGTTGTCTGAGGTGCCAGTGCCGGTCACAGGCAGGGGGACCGCTGCCAGGGAAGGAGCAGGGCTGGCCGGGGGGAAGAGGGGCTCCGCTGCGGTCTCCGGGGAGCCCAGGATTCTGGGGTGGCTTCTGGCTGAGACCACAGGAGAGGGCTGCGGACCCCCAGGATGGGGGACAGGGCTCGCAGGGTCGGGGGGCACGCGTGGGCCAGGGAGGGAGCCCTGCCCTTGGGTGACAGCCCTAAGCCTCACGTGCCTCATCCAAGACCAGTGCTGTCCGTCCGCCAACAGTGAGACAGAACTGGGCCACTTTCATTATTTTTAGGCTTCTTGTAGATTTTTAAAAAAGTGCCAAACAGGCTCACAGAAATCGTGTTCTATTTCAATGATTTATGCTTAACAAATCGTGTTTTAAACATCCGGACCTCGACTGGAGATAGAAAGTCTAACTATGATGACTTCCATAAACCAGGAGCTTGGGCCAAGTGGCCCCTCGCCGCACCTCGGCCCCCCACCCCCTGCCCCCGGGGCCCTGGCGGCGCCCTGTCCTGAGAGGGCGCTGACCGCACCGTGAGGCGGCTCCTCCGGAGCTGACGGGACGTGGGCAGCCCCATACTTTGCTCCTGAGGTCTCTCCTGGCTGCCGGGAAAGTGCTGCCTGGAATGTTCTCCACACCCCAGCCCCTGTGACCTTTAATTGTCCTTCAACTCCCCCCCTGCCTCGGTCCAATCTCTTCAGGATGCTCCTGGCCAGGCTGGGGCCTCCTGTGCTCAGTGTCCTAACCTTTGTGTCCTTGTCTGTCTCCCTCCTGGGGACCGTGCTCCTCTCGTTGGGTATCCTGGGGGCCTAACTCACGGGAGGCCCTGACTCAGCTACGGTTGGAGGAACAGATGAACGAACGAACGAACGAACGAGTCACTCAGGGAGGTCCCTGGGAGTCCCAAGGCTGGCTGCAGCCGCTCGCCCCTCTAAGGCCCCTGTAACTGCACCTCCCCTTCCATCCCTGAGCCCGGGACACGCCCAGACCTGGAACATGTCCCTGGGCGATGGCTTGGTGCGCTTCAGGAGGACACAGCAGGGGAGAGAAGGTGGCTGGGCTGTCCCCCCGGTTTTAAGGTCCTGCCAAGAGGCCCTGCCCCTGGCGCAGCTGCCTGCAGGGCCTGTGAGGGAGCAGGGAGCCTCGGGAGGGGCCGTCAGCACACCTGCTACCTGCCCGTAGAGAGGGGCAGCCCGCAGGCCCGTGGGGGCCGGAGGGCCCTGCTGGCTGGGCTGACTCACTGCCCCGTTCCCCACCAGCGTAGGGAGAGGGCGGCCCGGGGCGCCTCGTGGTCAGTCTCATCCACCCCCAGCCCCGTGCATTTGCTGCCATGGAGCTGCTGCCATGGCCGCACCGAGCGCCCTGCCTGGCTGGCCTAGCGCCTGGCTCAGGCCCTGTCCTTTGCCCGGTGCTCCGTTCCACTCCCTGTAGCCTGAGACCTGCTCCCCACCCTCCAAGACCAGCTCTGTGTCCTCTGAGGCAACACCCCTCTTTCCACCCGACTCCCCACTTCCCACTGCCTAACTGCTCAGCATTTGTCCTGCCCGAGGGTCTGCTGGACAGCACGCCCCTCTGTCCCCTGCGTCCTCAGGACCCAGGAGAGCTCCCGGCTGCCCTTGGAGGCCAAGTGGCCGCCCAGGGGGAGCTCATGCCCTGTGATGGGAGTGGGCAAATCTCCGCTTGAGTGGCGGGAATCATGGGTGCTGAGAAACATGGGATCACAAAGACACAAGGACACACAGACACGCAGAGACACACATAACATACAACACACACACACATGCACACATACAGAAATAGATACACACACATAGACGCACATATGCACACATACACAAATGTAGGCAGGCAGACACACAGACAGACAGACACACACACACAGTGCCCCACCAGTGCCTGCCCGCCCAGCACCTGCCCTGCCTTTGCAGAGACGCCGGCGGGGGCCTCGGTCCGGAGCCCCCTTCCCCGCCTCCCCCTCCCCATCACTCATTCTTCCTGCCAGTTCCTCCTGCCGAGGAGAGGAAGCATTTGGCCAGAGAGCAGCTTGGAAAGGAAGTCTTTGAAATGGAAATGTTATGACAAAATGATGGATTGTTTTCCGAGCTGCGCAGTTTGTTTCTTGCTCACAGCGGCAGGAGAACGGAGCTGAGACAGGTTGCCCGAGTCGGGAAGCCCCCGGCAGCGGAGACTGCAGGTGAAGCGCAGGCGGCAGCAGTGGGAGCCCAGGGTGGGGGACGAGGCCCGGCTACCGTCCAGCAGCCCGGCTCGTGCCGGGGGCCCCGAGCGGCCGCGTGTGCAGCACCCTCCAGCTGAGGGGCACCTGGTCTGTCCTGCCACAGCCACACCTGCAGGGCTGGCCTCGGAACCTTTGCTCCTGCCGCCCCCCTGTGCTGCCCCTGCCCACTGTCTCTAGCCTGGGGACTGCTCCTCATCCCTCAACTCCAGCTTCGAGGTCGCCTCCCCTGAGAGGACCTCGCTGCATGTGACACCCACTTCACCCAGACCCTTCAAACCACAGGGGAATTGCTGGTTGGCTCCTGGCCACCGGGTTTACTTGGGACTATTTAGAATGGCCACCGGTCTTATTTATTAAAAAGTATGTTTTGAGTCCCTACTGTGTGGAGCACTGCGCTGTGTAGTGTTCGTCAGAGAGCACAGAAGAGGGAACGCCCCTCTCCCAGGGTGCCGGGGGGGAAAGGACAGTGGAGGTGATCAATGTGTGACATGTCGCATGGCTTTAAACATCATGGGAAGGAGCAGAGGGGAATGAAGATGGCTAGGAGCGCTGAGGAGGGAAGGCTCCAGGAGAAGGTGAATTTGAGCAAAGACACTAGAGGGTGAGGTGTGCAGACAGATAAGACAGGAGGGAGAGGGCATCACAGGCACCGTGTGGGGAGGTCAGCCCGCATTTCATACACAGAAGTTGCCAGTAGCCAAACGTGGATACGTTATTTTTTGTTGACATGTCTCATCATTCTACTGAGATGACCCAGTCGCTGAGGGCAGGGGCTACATAAAGACCATTTTGTAACCTTCATAGCACTTAGTGCGCAATTCATTGCTCAGTAAGGGTATTTGAATGTGAGGGCTGCCAGGACTCAGCGCTTGTCCTGGAGCGCCCTCTGGTGGTCAAACCTCAAACGCCAGCTTTGTACGCCCTGTGTTTACATCCTGCGCGTTCCTCCTCCCGACCTGGGTTCCCAGGGCAGGGCCAACGAAGAGGATTCGCTGAGTGACTACTGTACACAAGGCTCAGGGTCAGCTTGGGCAGGAGGCACAGACCCAGAAGACATGGTGCCGGCCCTGGAACCCTTCACTCAGTGGACATCTCGCGGGTTAGACTTTTCTCTCTCTGTCCTTGTTCCCTGCTGTCCTCCCTCTCTGATCTTCCTGGATCATCCGCGATACCAGACTTCGAGTTCGGACTAGAGCTGCCCCGGCAAGGATGGCCTGCCGTGTGTGCCAGAGGGGCTTGGGGGCAGCGTTAGCCCCCCGAGTTGGTGGAGTGGCCCTGTGCCCCCAGGAATTGCAGCCCCAGGGAGCTTGGAGAGCAGCCAGACCGGGTGCATTAGACACGCCCTGCAGTTTCGTGGCTGAGGCTGGTGAGGTGCAGACCAAAGCAGGCTCCCCGTTCTGGCCGGTGGAGCTGTGCCTCCTTTTCGGGGACTGCTCACAGCCCGGCCCCCTCCTCTGAGCTGGCGGCCTCAGTTTCCTCAGTGCCGGCGCTGAAGCTGCCCCTGCAGGCACCGAGCCTCTCCCACCCTACGTCTTTGTTCTCTCTCCTCTGGCCCCAGCCACGAAACTTGAGAGTCCCTTTCTTTCCCAGGGCCCCACTAAGTACGGAGACCAGAATAACTATGTCCTAGGAGCTTTATTTTTAGGGTTTGTGGGAGGAAACAAGGAGCCTCTGGAGAGAGGCCTCTCGCGTGGCAAGAGGTGTCCTGTGGGGAAGCAGCCACACCTCCTGCAGCTCTTAACCGTGGCCTGGAAAGTCCTGCAGGATCAGCCCCAGATCCTAG